TCTTGAGCCTTCCTGGAAGAGTTCTTGGGAGAGTTGCGCGCCCTTCGGGTGGCCGGCGGGACGGGCCGAGGCCCCAGGGGGAGCTCTTTGGGAAACAGAACCAACACCAAAAGCAGAGAGGGTTCCGCACGCTGGGCGCCCCTGAGATGAATCGGCAGGGGGCGGCGGATCCTGACAGCCTTCGGCCCCTCCAGCCGCCGTGCCGCGGGTCGGTGTCGTCGGGGCTGCCCGCCGGGTCTCCTGGGAGGCCTCTCGTGGGCCTCTTGAACGCAGCGCCGATGCCTCTCCTGGGGCCCGTTCTGGGCTCTCTTCATAGGGGCCTCTTCATAGGGGCGTCTGGGGGCCTCGTGGGGGCCTCTTGGGCGCCTGCTGGCGATCCGAGGGGTCGTTTTGGAGCGGAGGGCGCGAAGTGTCAGTTCGCGTTCCCCCTCTCGGGTCGCCCTGGGGGCGGTCTTGGGCCGTCTAGGAGGCCTCCTGGGCCGTCCTGGAGCCCTCTGGGACCGTCTTGGAGCCCTCCCGGGGGGCTTCTCGGGCCGTTTTGGGGCGATCCTTGGGGCCTCTCAGGCCGTCTTGGAGCGGCGGCAGCCCTAAGTGGCGTGCGCGCGCGCAAATCTATCAATCCAATCGTGCCTCGCAGGCACGGTGGCGGATTTCAGAGCGACTCGAGCCACCGTCCTACTGCTTTGTCCGCCCGTTCGCCAGCGTGGCCTTAGCTTGCTGGGCAGATCCAGCGTCGCGGGTTGCGCACCACGCTTTGCAGTCTAGAATGTCGTGCGCTCGTTTTGCTAGTCCTATCGGCATGCGTTTGGTGTGCCGCATAGGTGGTCGGCGTGTGTTTGGCGTGCCGACTGGTGGTTCGCCCTTGTTCGGCGCCTCGAAACGACGGGGGGTGTTGTTCAGGCCTCAAACTGCCCCATCAAAGCCCCCCAAAGCCCCCGGGATGACCCCACGAGCGCTCAGTAGCGCCCCAAGAGGGCCTCGAGCAGCTGCCAAGAGAGCCCCAATACGGCCCATGATTGCGCTAAGACGGCCCAAGAGAGCCCCCGACGAACCTCAAGACTGCATATATTGCATATGTAGATGTAGTTGTATGTGTGTGTGTGTGTACGTAAACGTGTATTTTGTTGCGCATGTGTAGCTGTATCTGTACACACACATTTATATATATATATACATATATATATATATGTATATGTGTAGGTGTGTATATATACATATATATATATATATAGATATACACGGGGGAACGGGACCTGGGGCCGCCAGATTGGGGCCTCGGACCACCATGGGGGCCACGGGGCTCCAGGACGCTCCCGGGGGCCCGAACCTCGACCACAAATGTGGAGCCGGGGGCCCGGGCCGCCTCTAAGAGGGCTGAAATCGCCGTCGGAAGCCCTCAGACAGCCGTCCCGGCAGCCCTGGACGTTCTCGAGAAGTTCCCAAGACGCTTCAAGATGCCGCCCTAGAGCGGCCCGAGAGGCCAAAATCGTTTATTTGAATCTGTTGTTTCAATGTTTTTGGCTTTCTCCCTGTTTCGGCTTTCCGACGCTCCACGACCGCCCCAGAGGTTCCCAAGACCGTTCCAAAAAGGCCCCAGAGGCTCCCAAGAGAGCCCCCAGACGGCCTAAGAGAGACGCAAGAAGGCTCCAGGAGTTCTCGGACAGCTGTCCCAGCGTCCCCAGACGGTTCCGAGACGCTCCGAAGACCGCCTCCAGGTGTCTCCAGCGGCTCGCGATGCGTCTGAAGCTGCCGAGGACGTCCCCCAAGACGCGCCAAGAGGCTTGAAGATGCCGCCGAGGAGCGGCCCGAGAGGCCGAAATCGTTGACGTCCCTTTGTTTTTCCTATGTTTTTGGCTTCCAAGCCGTTTCGGCTTTCCGACGCTCCTAGACCGGCCCAGGACTTCCCAGACTGCTCCCAGACAGGCCAAGACACCCCCAAGAGAGGCCGAAGACGGCCCAAGAGAGCTTAAGACTGTCCCCAGGCCCGCCCAAGACAGCCCAAGAGAGCTCCAAGCAAGCGCCAACAGCGGCCCAAGAGAGGGAACACGCACCGAACAGTCGAGCTCTCCGCCCCAAGATGCTCCCAGGAAGCCCTCAGAGTCCCCGAAGACAGCCCAGAAGGCTACCAAGAGGCCCCCATGCGGCCCAGAAGAGGCCTCCAGGGGCTCCACAATGGCCTCCGAGAGGCTTCACACCTGCCTACCCAGGTCCCCCAAACATGCTCCGGAAACGCGCTGCCGGAGCACGTTGCCGCCTCTCCTTCCAAGCGTTCGGTCTCGCGTGTCCGAGAGCCACTGTCGTCCATCCCCGTCGCCGTCCGCGCAGCCATTTGGGCTCTCAGGCGCCTGCTCCGAACGCTGCAATGATCCAGTACGGACTTGTAATATGCATGTATGGGGTTATCGAGCGATCGCATGCGATTTGCCTGGCTTCCGCACGGTAGCTGTAGATGTCTCGTAAGAGACGTGTTGTTATGCGCATATCTAATTATCTAGATATCTCTATATATATGTGTATATATATATGTATGAATGTACGTATGTATGTATCGGAGTAGGCCGGGTGGGGGGACTGGGCGGGTGCCACCCTCCCCCGTGGGCGCCCCCACAGACCCCCCGGGACGGCCCCGGGCCGCTTTCAAATTGCCCACGACAGGCCACGCGGGCCGTACAGATTGTCAAGAGAGCTTCACGAGGCCCCGAAGACGCCCGAGATGGCCCCAAGACAGCCCAACAGGCCCCGAAGCCGCCCCAAGAGGCTTCAAAAAAGCGCCCCAAGAGAGCCCCGAGAGGCCAACATCGATGATTTCCCTTTTGTGGTTTTCGATGCTTTTGGTTTTGATCGCCTTTTTACTTGTCCGACGCTCCAACAAGGCCCAACAGGTCTTCAATAGCGCCCCAAGACTGCCCGGGAGGCCCCCCCGACGGCCTCAAGACAGCCTTGGACTGCCCCAAGAATTCCCAAGAGGGGCCCCGGAGGGCCTTAGAAAACCCAGGAGGGCCCCGAGAAGGCTCCCTGAGGGGCCCACGAGGGGGACCACCAAGTTAAACATATTTTTTTCCGCCCTGAAAGCTTCCCAGGAGGCCCCAAGAGAGCCCCAAGACGCGCCAAGGAGGCCACCAAGAGGGCTCCAAAAACGAACCGACATTTCGCGGTCTTCGGCTTCAGAGGTCCCCAGGAAGCTCCCGAAGGTCATCCAGACGCCCCCCAGAAACTCCGTGAGGCACCCAAGAGGACCTCAGGAAGCCCAAAGAGGTCCTCAAAAGCTCCCAGGGAATCCCGAAAAAATGCCCCCCGAGACACTCCAAACCATTCATGTTCCCAGGAGGTTTACCCGGAACATGATTCATCAGGCGTTTGCCCCCCTCGAAAGAATTTGTCCGACAGGCCTCGCTCGGAAACGCCACTCTGGCACGGGTGGTCCCGATGATGATGACGATGATGCTATTTTTGTTGGGAGATGACGATGATGGTGATTCTGAGCATGATGATGATGATGATGCCGATGCTGATGCTGATTTTGGTGATGGTAATGGTGACGACCATGAGAATAATGAGGTTGATGATGACGACGACGATAAAGATGACGACGATGATGAAAATGATACTGATGATGTTCGCTACGATGCTCATGATGATCATCGTGATGAATGAGGGTGATGCTGCAGCTGCAAATCATGCAGATTTTGATGATTCGCATTCTCCGCGTTCTCATCCCTATCATTATGAAGGTTAGGGGATGATTTTGCTGTTGATGGTAATTATGATCATGACGATGACAATCACCATGGCCACCCGGATTATGATGATTTCGCTGCTGCTGATGGTGATTGTCGCCGTGATACGTCACGAAGCATGAAATGGCCCGTCTGAAAGCTTGCACGGACGGCGCAGGAGAACGGGGAGGAAACAACCCAGGAATCGGCTTCGGATGAGGGGCCCTAGAGGCCCCCAGGACCCCCCCGGAGGCCATCAACCACGCGGGAAAGGGAGCCGTGGCGCAGCTGCATCCTGGGACGCACACAGTGCCAACTGACAACGTCTTCGGAGTCGACTAGAAGCTAAGCGCGTGCGAAGCGCGCGCGTGGTTCTAGTACATATATATATATATATATATATATATATATTTATACATATATATATATATGTTGTTGGCATTTTTTGGGTACGTGGTATATTTCGTCCAAACTCCGCCTGCAGGGGAACGCGCCCGACCTAACGCGAGGGACGAGGCGAGGGGGGGCAGGAGCCGTGAAGGCGGAGCGGCCGCGGGCCTCGCCGCCTGCGGGCCAGTTTGCTCTCTCGCGCGCCAGCGCGCCCGAGGCCGCCCTGAGCGTGGACGGCCCGGCAGGCAGTCGGTAAGGTTGCGCCAGTGGCATCGTAACGGGTATTCCCTAGCGGGTACCTAGAGATCCAAAGTATTAACAAAAATCCGAATGGAGTTGTTCAGTTTTCGGCCTCTAGGGGCCTTCGCCGGGCCCCAGGACCCTCGAAAAACGACTCACGATGAAAAACTGATCCTGGGGAATGGGTCGAGATTTCGGGGGACCGCGTATTGAAAAGATCACGATGTCGGACCTCTGGGGACTTTGGACGCTTGCCGAGAGCTGCCACTTTCGGTGCTTTTGCTGGCACCGCAGCGTGGCCCACGTCGGAAAGGGTTGGGTTCGCCGGGGCCCAGGCCAGAGTGCCCGTCCGTGCAGTCCCCGCTAGAGGGCGGCTGAGTGCAAGAAGCTGATGGGCTTGTTTTCCACCACCACCACTATAAGTTGGAGGGGAGAAGGAGGAGAAGGACGAAGAGGAGGAGGAGGAGGAGGAGGAGGAGGAGGAGGAGGAGGAGGACCAGGAGGAGGAGGACCAGGAGGAGGAGGACCAGGAGGAGGAGGAGGAGGAGGAGGAGGAGCAGGAGGAGGAGGACCCTCTCCCCCTCCAACTTCTGGTGGCGGTGGTGGTGGAAATCGCGCCCATCACGCGGTGCAGCCCGCGGTCCCGCGCCCGCCGCGCAGGCGGCCGCCCCTTTCTCCCCCCCCCCGCGCCGCGCGGCGCGGGCGGCGCGCCCGCCGCGCTCCCTGGGCCGAGCCGCCCCCGCCGCTCGCGGATGGAGGCAATCTCCGCGCGCCCTGCGGCGACGACGACGGCGACGACGACGACGACGACGGCGAGGACGACGACGACGAGGAGGACGAGGACGAGGAGCACGAGGAGGCGGAGGAGGAGGAGGCGGAGGAGGAGGAGGAGGAGGAGGAGGACGAGGAGGAGGAGGAGGAGGACGAGGAGAAGGGAGATGAGGAGGAGGGGGAGGGGGAGGGGGAGGGGGAGAGGAGAAACGAAAGCGACGACGTTGACGACGACGACGGCGCGGACGAGGAGGAGGCCGAGGAGGAGGCCGAGGAGGAGAAGGGCGAGGCGGCGCCCTCCGCGCGCCCTGGCGGGGTCCATCTCGATCCCGTGGGTCCGATCCGAGGCTGCTTGCCAGTTGTCCGAAGCGATTCTCTTCTCCACTGTCGGGCCCCAGGGCCCTCGCGGATCCGACTCCAGAGACGCCGCGCTGACGTCCCGCGTATAATCCGCGGCGTAAGGTTCCGGAGGGGAAGACATAGACCAGACACAGTGGATCGTCGACCCCCAGGAGAATACGGGGAAACACAGGAAATGGGGGGAAGACGAACACCCCGAGAATTTGTAGGAAAATACGGGGGAATCCTGGGGTTCGTGCGTATTTAGTTGCATGCCCAGGGCCCCTTTCTCTGTGTCCTCTCCTGGCGAGGTGCCGCCCCCTTGGGTTTCCGTCGCTCACCTGGCGCGCGCCCGAGGAAGGGCGGGCTTTGAGCCCCCTCTTCTCCACGCGGTGTGGCGCGCTGGCGGCCCGCGTGAGCCGCGGCGTGCGTCATCAGCCTTACGTCGGGCCTGTCCCCCTACAGAGGGGGAATTTGCTCAAGATAAGTAAATCGTCTGGGGGCTATATATACATATATATAGAGAGAGAGAGAGAGTTATTTATGTATTGTTGTTTATGTTTTTTTTTTTCTCTCTCTCTCTCTCTCTCTATATATATATATGTTTTGGCATTCGATGTTTTGTGCATTTGTGGTATATGTCTGTGTTTCTCCTTTTAATTCGTCCACAATCCGCCTGTAGGGGGACATGCCCGACCTGACATTAACCACGCAACCACCCCAACCCAACCCGCAGGCACCAAGGTGCCCTCCACTCCTAGGGAGAGGGGGCGTCGGGCAGCACGGCGAACGCACGCGTGGAGCCCGCGTGCCCCCCCCCCCCAGCTCGAAGTTTGGGTCTCCGGGTTGGGTAGGGGTGGTCTGGCAGGTCGATTCAGCACAGTCAGGGCGCTGAGGAAGGAACCCTTCTCGATGGAAGGGGCTTGGTGTTCCTTGATTCCCTACCTAGGCTCTGCCTAGAAGGGTTCTTACTCGGTATGCTTAAAGGTGCGGGCAATGGACTACACCCCGGGAGGTTCCCCCAGCTGCGCCCCCTGGGTTCACCCAGTTTAGCTTAGCTAAGCTTATCTTAACTTAGCCTAGCTTAGTTTATCTCATCTTAGCTTAGCTTAGCTTAACTTAGCTTAGTTTAGCTTATATCATCGTAGCTTAGCTTCGATTAGCTTAGCTTGGCTTAGTTTAGCTTAGCTTAGCTTATCTCATAGTAGTTTAGCTTAGTTGAGCTTACCTTAGATTTGCCTAGCCTAGCTCAGCTTAGCTTAGCTTAGCGTAGCTTAGCTTATCTCATCTTAGCTTAGCTTAGCTTAGCCTAGCCTAGCCTGGCCTAGCTTAGCTTAGCTTAGCATAGCTTAGCTTACCTTAGCTCAGCTTAGCGCAGCGCAGCATAGCGCAGCGCAACATTAGCACAGCATATCATAGCATATCATAGCATAGCCAAGCATCTCATAGCATAACATATCATATCATAGCATAGCATAGCCAAGCATAGCATAACATAGCATCGCATAGCATTGCTTAGCATAGCACAGCGCAGCACAGCATAGCATAGCACAGCATATCATAGCATAGCATAGCATAGCGCAGCATAGCATAGCGCAGCATAGCATAGCGTTTACCGTTACTACTAAGATTGTTCTCGTAGGGGCTCCAACTCCCAGGTAGGGTCGCTCTGGGATAATTGTGTTACATATTGCCTAGGGCTTTCCTGACGCTTCCCATGGGGCATCGAAGTTGAACTTATGGGAGAGAGGGGCCTCGTTTCTCATTCAGGGTTCCGTAGGTCAACGCCCCGACTGTAAGGTCGCCATGCCTCCTCCTCGCGTTTTGCGAGGCTCTCTGTGCTCTCGCCGCTCGCCTGGCGCGCGCATCCCCCCGCCGGGCCCGCGGCGTCCTGGAGCGCCGCCTTGGCGGGCCGGCCCCAGCGGCGCCGCGGAGGTGGAGCCCGTTTGGCCCCTCCGCGTGCACGACGCGCCCGCCGTCGGAGCGGAGCCGGCCCGGGAGCTTCCCGAGCGGAGAACGCCGACGATCTACACGAACGAGATGGGCACCGAAGGAATGGGTACAATGCCCAACAGCAGTGCCTGTTCATTTGGAACAGGACTCGCTGTCCGCGCCGCCGCGGCCTGTTTCCGTTCGAGACAGGAGGCCGCCTGCCCAACAGCGGCCGCTGCTGGTTTGGGGCAACATTTGTTGTTGGGCATTGTACCCATTCTTTCGGTACCCATTTCGGGTGTCCAAAGACGAGAAGTTCCCCATCGCCTCAAGTCGGGCCTGTCCCCTCGCTGCAAGCACAGGCAAACAACATGGTCCAGGAACGACCACTTTGCGTGACCATTCTTCACTCTTCGTCCCAAGGTCGCCTGCAGGGGCACACGCCCGACGCCGCCGCCGCCGACGCCCTGGGCACAGGTCGCTGTGACCTCCCCCCGCGGGGCGGGGGGGGGGCGGGCCCCTCTGCCTCCGCCGCCCGCCCTCGGCGCGCGCTTTCGCGCCGCCCCGCAGGGCGGCTCGTCGCCGCTGGGCCAGTTCGTGATCCTCGCCCAGGGCGCGCAGGGCAAGGCCTGCGAGGCGCCGCGGGCCGCCAGGGGGGCCGCGGGCAGCGGGGGGCAGATTTTTTTGTAAGTCGGGGCTGCTCCTACAGCGGGAACGTTCAAGAAGTTCGATGCTCGTTTTGGGGACCTTCCTGGGGGCCACCCAATGGATCTGTTCGACTCAGGTTCGGCTCAGGTTCGACTCAGTTTCGACTCAGGTTCGACTCAGATTCGACTCAGGTTCGACTCATGTTCGACTCAGGTTCGACTCAGGTTCGACACAGCTTCGACGCACGAGTGGAGCGAGTGGCTCCAGGAAGGTCCCCAGAATGAGCATCTAAAAGAAGAGTCCAATAATTGTTCTGCGGACTACGTTTTGATCATGTTTGAGCATGTTTTGGGTATGTTTCATATATGGTGGATTTTTCGGCGAAGATCCCCGTGTAGGGGGACACGCCCGACTTAAGGATAGGTTTCTAATTGGCGGAGGGGGCGCAGAGTAGCCGTAGTACCAAGGTCTGGGGGGGCAGGTAGCCATAGTCGAGCAAGCAGGGGAGAAAAAAGAGAGGTCCACCACCGCAACAAGTTAGAGGGGGGAGGGGGGTCCTCCTCCTCCTCCTCCTCCTCCTCTTCCTCCTCGTCCTCCTCCTCCTCATCCTCCACCTCCCTTCCCCCCTCCAACTTGTGGTGGTGGTGGTGGTGGAAAACAGACGGGCCCATCAGATTTCTGACGGGCGGAGGGGGCGCGAAAGGTCTCCATGTTCACATGTCATGGTCCGGAGAAAGTTCCAGGCCAATGCTGCTTGTACACAGTTCATCGGCACGATCGACATGGGTACGGAAAGAATGGGTACGATGCCCAATAGCAGTTCGTGTTCATTTGGCACAGGACCCGCTGTCCGCGCCGCCTCGACCTGTGTCCATGTGAGGCAGAAGACCGCCTGCCCAACGGCGGTCGCTGCTGGTTTGGGGCAACGTTTGCTGTTGGGCACTGTGCCCATTTTTCCAGTACTCATGTCGGGCGTCCAGTAAAACAGGGCTAGGATCGGGATAAATCGCTCCAGAGCGTTCCGGAGCGCTCTCAGAGCGTTCCGGAACGCTTTGGAGCGGCCGCGGCGCCCAGTACATCCTCCAAACCCGCCGATTCTCAGAGAATTCGAGTTATCCCGATCCGATTTTGTCCCGATCTTCGTGTCGTTTTGCTAGAGGCCTATATCGACTGCCTGGAACCTCGCCTTGAGCTTAGATGTCGAGGTCCTGGTGCTACTTGGCCGCCCTCCTGTGAGTTCTGGGTAGAAGCGCCCCTGCTTCTCAGGGACTTGTAGGGCCGGCGCCTTCCAAGAAGCATCCTACTTCTACGAAGCCTTCCCCCCTCCGACGACCTCGCCGACGACCTCTGGACGGCGCCGCCAAGGAGACGCCTCTCATCCCTCCTCAGATTTGGGTGGATGGGTCCTTCGCAAACAGGGACGGATCAATATGTACGTAATAGTTTGTGCAATATTTTCGTGCTAGATGCGGGCAGAATGCCTTGCACTTGGCATCGTTGGTCCTTGAGAGAGGCCACGCGCGATGAGCCACATGATGAACTACTACACATTTTTTGCAGAGGTAATTACAAAGTACCCTCCTGTGCCTAGAACCCAGAGGGGAACTTGACGGGGCTAGGACGAGGATAGATCCGTTCCAGAGCGTTCCGGAACGCTCTCAGGGCGTTCCAGAACGCTCGGAGATGGCTGCGGCGCCCGAGACATCCTCCAGAACCGCCGCATCTCAGAGATTCGCGGAGGAGGAGGACGAGGAGGAGGATGAGGGGGGTCGGAGGGAGGGATGAGGGGGGTGGGAGGGAGGAGGAGGAGGATGGAGTGAGGAAGGGAGGAGGAGGGAAGGAGGGAGGGAGGGAGGGAGGAGGAGGGGGGAGGGAGGAGGAGGAGGGGGAGGAGGGAAGGAGGGAGGATGGAGGGAGGGAGGGAGTGAGGAGGGAGGGAAGGAGGGAGGAGGGAGCGATGGAGATGTATCCTCGCCCCGATTTTATCCTCGTCCCGGCCTCGCCCGCCCGAGCCACGCCTGCCCGAGCCACGAAGCCGCCGGCTCGCGCTGTGAAGTGCCCGCGCGCGGGCGCGGCCTGCGAGACGCGCCGGGGAGTCCCCCCGCGGTCAGCGCCGCCGCCGCCGCGTCGGTCGCGCCAGAGAAGCTGGCCGCGCGGCGCGGGAGCCTGGAGGAGGAGGGGGGGAGGGGGGAGACGAGGAGGAGGAGGAGGAGGAGGAGGAGGAGGAGAGAGCAGGAGGAGGAGGAGGGAGCGGGGGGAGGAGAGGAGGAGGGGAGGAGGAGGAGGAGGAGAGGGAGGAGGGGAGGAGGGGAGGAGGAGGAGAGAGGAGGTAGGAGCAGGAGGGGAGGAGGAGGGAGGAGGAGCGGAGGTGGAGCAGGAGGAGGAGGAGGAGGAGGAGGAGGGGGAGGGGGAGGAGGGGGAGGAGGAGGCGCGCCAGTGCGGCCGCAGCGATGCGCTGGCCAGCGCCACGCAGTCACCGCAATCGGTACCGCAGGTGTTTTGCAGAGTGATAGTTTTTGATTCATTGTTTTGCCGATCGGCGCGGGCCCTCGCACCCTCCCCCCTCCCCCCCCCCTGGAGTAGATCTTGCCTGTTTGGGGGGCCTGTTTCAAGCAGGTGGAGTCTCTCCCCCACGGGACGCACGGCTGCTGACAGCCGCACTACGCAGGGGTCTGGAGCGAGAAACTCCCCCCCCCCGTCCCCCTCCCCTTCCGCCCAATGTCGAAACGTCGAAGAAGAAGAACGCTCACAAACCGAATGTGCAGGCGGGTGGGCTTGATTGTGGCGCGAACGGTGGAGCGGACATCTCCAAGTTCAACGGCATGAACTGCACCACGTAGATCGTACCACGACGACTGCACCGCATACACTGCACCACGAAGACTGCACAACACATATCGCACAACATAGTTTGCACCATCGAAGGTGCAACCCGTGTACTGCACGACGTACAGCGGGCAGCACATCTTGCGCAGCGCATCGTCGTACAACACGGGTCGCACCCCACCGGCTGGGCCGGCCCCTCCGCCCCCATGCCCGCGAGGGGCTCTGCCCGCCCGTCGGGTGCCGCCGCGTGCTTCTTTTTTTTTGGGGGGGGGGAGGCGCACGGCCGCCCCCTGCCGCCCGTCCTGGGCTCCGTCCTCCTCCCTCCCCCCCCCACTGCCCCTCCCCTCCGCCCGCCCTCCCTTTCTGCCTCGGGGGCGCACCACGTCGGTTGCGTCGCATACGCTGCGCCACAGGAGCTGCATCACGCAGGCTGCTCGACATAGGCTGCACGACATATCCTGCCAGAGAAACATCGTGCGGGGCCCACGCTGGCTAACACGATATGCATACATTACACATATTTTTACATACATATATATATATATATACATAGTCATCGATGGCATATCTGTGTGCATATATATATATATATGTACAGATATCGATTATGCCTCTTTCGTCCAACCTCCTCCCCGCCCTTGCCCTATATCGACTTGTCCGTTCCGTCCTCAGGCCTGTTTGTCTATTTCTTGTTTTCTGCCGCGATACTCCCCGCCGTATCCTTCCTGCCCCATCCATCCTTCCTTCTTTCTCCGGCGTCCCCTTTCATTCTGCCTCCTTCCTCCGCCGGCCCCCCGTACCCCTCTTCTTTTGCCTCTGCATCCTGTCTCCTGTATGTTGCCTCTTTCCCCATCTCTAGATCGCGTCCGCCTTCTCCCTCGACCATCTCCCCTCTCTTCCCGGTTCTCGGCTCTTCATATTTCACTACCTTCGTACATCTTAGCTCCCGCCTTGTCTGAGCCGATGAAGGCAATGTGTCAAAGTAAGCAAGTGCGCATATATATATATATATATATACACATGTACTTATTTGAAATCGCATGTTCCCAGTTTCTCGACCGAATGCCCGGGAGGGCGTTGATCAAACCAAAATCGTGGGCGGAGCGCACAGTGGTTCTATAATGTGTGTTTGTGTGTTTATAGAACGTAATATGTGACGTACCTCATACAATACTGTGTATGCTTCTCCCCAGCCATCCCCCTCACTTCACTTCAGGCGCTGGTGAGACAGGCGCTGGACCACTCTGGCGTGTTTGTCTTTGGGGAGCTCCTCGACTGCGCCAACGTGAAGGCGTGTGGGCGGGGGATCAGCGCGGGACTTGGGGGCCGCGGGCCCCCGCCCCTACCCGCCCCTTCCCCCCCTTGAGAGCTGGGCGCTGCAGCTTGCTCACCTGGCGTGCTCCCTGGGGCTCGGGCCCCTCGACCACCACAGACCGATCTGGCTCGGGACATGCCGAGGAGGAGGAGGAGGAGGAGGAGGAGGAGGAGGAGGAGGAGGAGGAGGGAGGAGGAGGAGAGGAGGAGGAGGAGGAGGAGGAGGAGGGAGGGGGGAGGAGGAGGAGGAGGAGGAGGAGGAGGGAGGAGGAGGAGGAGAGGAGGAGAGAGGGAGGAGGGAGGAGGAGGAGGAGGAGGAGGGAG